GGTAAATCTCACTAGTTTCAGCAACCTTGGAGGTCCATTCCCTACCGTTACCTTTCACCGCTCTGAAAAGCTCAGATTTTATAACCAGGTTATCATATAAGTCTTGTCTTGTTAAAAACTCTTCAGTGCAACTAATCTTAATCACTTAGAACTTAACCTTCATTTGGATGCTATAGAGCACTTAAACATTTAATTGAATAAGAAAACCAGGATTACAGTCTCCATTCAGACACATAAATCATCTTTTATAAAAGTCTGGGTGCACGGTTGTTCAATTGCCACTGACTTTAATTAGATATGTGCCATTGTGAGGATAGTTGTACCGGGGGTTTGATGGGGAGGAAATCACAGTAGGAAGAATTCAAAGCAGTTGTATGAACTTGCATAACCTTGGCTCTCTTGGCACCGCTACCATTTCCCTTTTGTGGTATTTCAAAAATGCCTACCACCAAAGGCTGCAAACCGGCACACATTTAGTTTGCTGAAGTCAATAGAACTGAAGTGTGCTGGTCGTGAGGGTTAACCATGCGGCAAGGTCTGAGTCCAGTCCGAGGTCGAGGGTGTGGTATGGAGGCTGTCCATCAAGGCTGAAGCTGGGTCCAAGGCAGGGAGTCGGGTGAGGTCAGGAACTCTGGCGGAAGAGCAGGTCAGGGTGCAGGCAGGAACAGGCTACCAGCAATGTTGCTCCCGCAACCTGGGACTGGGGCTGGCTGGCTTTTATCTGCCCCGAGGCATAGGGCAGCCCCGGTCCACAGGTGACTCGCCTCTCCTGGCCTGGAGGCGAGCACTCCTCCTGCGGGAACTTAGTTCCCTCCGCCTCTCTGCCCCGAGCCTCTGCAGCTCAGGAGAGGCTGGAGGGTTACCGGACCCAGAGACAACCTCAGCTTCCCCTGACGGGGCTGGGAGTGGACCACCTGCAGGCAATGGGTCCTCCATCACCTCAGGAGCCAAAGCAGATTCAGCTGGTGCCTGCACCTGAGGATCCAGCACAGGTGAGGACCCTTCAGGCTCAAGCCCCAGCCCCAGCTCAGCTGGTTCTGGAGGCAGGGACTCCTGTGCAGACTGGGATTCCTCAGGTTCAGCCTCCAAGTCCGGATCCCAGGCCATCACATGAAGTAGCTTACATGCAGTTTTCCATACCCATTGCTAAAGGGGAAAGAACATGTAGTTTAGCAAAACTGGCCGGCTCCAGTGAAACTAGGGTTCTGTATTTTTGAATGTTGCATTCAGTATCAAGACAGTGAACAAATTTTAGGAAGCGCTGAGGGTACTACGCTGCCTTTAACTTTTTATAATGGTCTCCTTAGATACCATTTTAATATGGCTACAGAGTAGGGAAAGAAATGGCATAATCTGGAGGGAGTAAGGTGATGAAGCTGTTGGGTATCCTGTCTTCCTCACAGCTCCCATCCCAATAATTCAAGCACTGATCCAGACCTTTAGGACAACTCATAGTTACTAAAAACAAATATATATGCCCAGATGCTGAGGTCCAGCGCTGAGCGCCTTCTGGTGGTTCCCTCATTGCGAGAAGCAAAGCTACAGGGAGCCAGGCAGAGGGTCTTCTCAGTAATGACACCTGCCCTGTGGAACACCCTCCCATCAGATGTCAAAGAGATAAACAACTACCTGACATTCAGAAGACATCTTAAGGCAGCCCTGTTCAGGGAAGTTTTTAATGTGTGACATCTTAGTGTATTTTTGGTCTTTGTGGAAGCTGCCCAGAGTGGCTGGGGAAACCCAGCCAGATGGGCAGGGTACAAATAATAAATTATTATTATTATTATTATTATTATTATTAATATTATAAAAGTGTTCAGGGCAACTTAGTAAATGTGGCAGATCTTCTTGTCCCTTTCGTAGTCGTCTGCAGATGGAAAGGGTTGGTTCGGATGTACACAACTGAGCTTGGGTGAATAAAGTAAAGACACTTGTACATTTCATTGCCTCTCCTTTCAAAATGGCAGCAATATAGTAGGATCTAGGCAGATAGTGCAAAAAAGGGGTGTCAAAAGCAAGTTAGATGGTTCCTTGACTGGTATTTCACTTCCTTTTTGACAGCAACAGCTTCAGAACACCAGCTGTGGGAGATCTTCTCAGCTGGTGCTAGGTGCAATACTGAAAATTGGTTGCTAGGTTCAGCCCCTCCCATTTTTTTACCATAAGAGCTTCAGGGTGGCAGCTACGTGCTCATAAAGTACAGGCCGACTACTTGGCTGGAGTTCTGTCCAGCAAACAAATAAGAATGAATACTGAATAAATAGCTGGCATCATTTAACCTCCCAGCAAACTTTGTGCAAACAAACCAGGATGAATGCTCAATAAACAGGTCATCTGGAAATGGCCATGGGGGTCTCACATTCTTGGAATGGTTTCACTACAATGGAAGGATTGGTTGCATGTGTACAAAGGGATGCTTGGGTGGAGTTGCTCCTCCAATCTTCGATTTTGATTCAGGGATGTATATAAGACACATTTAACACAGGCATTGCAACTTGCCAGTATAGCATATATAAACATTAAAAAGGTAAAGGACCCCTGACAGTTAAGTCCAGTCACGAACGACTCTGGGGTTGCAGTGCTCATCTCGCTTTACTGGCTGAGGGAACCAGCGTTTGTCCACAGACAGTTTTTCTGGGTCATGTGGCCAGCATGACTAAGCCACTTCTGGCGAAACCAGAGCAGTGCATGGAAACGCCGTTTACCTTCCCACCGGAGCGGTACCTATTTATCTACTTGCACTGGTGTGCTTTCGAACTGCTAGGTTGGCAGGAGCTGGACAGAGCAACGGGAGCTCACTCTGTCGTGGGGATTTAAACCGCTGGCCTTCCGATCGGCAATCCCTAGGCTCAGTGGTTTAGACCACAGTGCCACATAAACATTATCCAGTTCCTAACAGTTTTTACTGAAGGCTTTGGAGTTGTAATGAAACCTTTGGAGTTACATGATGAATTTTGTTAAGCTGTTTATTATAGTAAGCAATTATTTTTTTAAAAATAGGAAAGATTGTCACGTTATACAGTAGTTGGCATTTACAACCCCATCCCTATAATTACGATTTTGGAAATTTCATTATAATATATATTATAGATGCACCATCTCATTAGTAAGAGAAGTCTTGCTATTATGCTCCCCTTTGCTCAAAGACTCTTGCTCAGCTAAGTAGATCACACTTGCTTCATTTATTCCCGTACTCATCTCTAAATGCCTTCTCTTGGGGCCTTTGTTGTCTATCAAATGATCTTCTGTAATCCCGACTTATGCTTTTTATTTTGTGCATTTGTTCATAGGTGGATGCACTTGAGTTCCAGGACAACTAAATCTCCCATGCAGGCACACACATACTTTCTTCCCTTTGCAGAATATTACCATGCAATTGACAGTCAAGAAGGCTATCAGTCAAGAAAGGTGGGAAAACATAAATGATGCATTACACCACTTTGCAAACTTATGCGCAAAGTCAGACAGGGCGTTGGAAAATGAAAACATCACTGAATGAATAACAGGTTGTACTGCAAGGATGCAGAGTGATTCAGCTTCATGAATTCATAAGAGAGGGAAATTGTTCTCTAAACAAAACAAAAATAGGAAGGCAAACTTACAGTTCTGTAATTAGCACTCTGTGTAATGAACAGCCCCTTCACTTAGGCAATGCTCTCCTCATTGTGTTGTTTTGGGTCTTTCCCTGGAAATCCCCACCAACCCAAACCCACACTGTCAAGATTTCCAACTTTTGACTTCCAAATTTTGCCCAGCCCCCAGTGGAACCAGGCATAACAAAGGGGGCAAGTAATGGGACCTAAAAAAATGTGACCCAAACCTAGGGAAAACCCATGGAGGGTTATAGCAGTCCTTACATCCCATTATTACCTGACTGACAGAACAGTGTTTACTTGTTGAAGCTGTGAACAAAATACTAGTTAGTAGGCAGTCTTTGCGTCTGTGCTCAGGCAGCTTTTTGACGAATCCAGTAGAATTATTCATGATAAAAAGATGAAGGGTTAATTTGCCCTTTTGCACCAGTTCTAGGATGCAAGTTCCAGCCCCTACACTGATGGGACCAGTTCCTCTGCTTGGGCTGGGAATATTATACAGTTACACAATGCAAGAGTCATTGCATCACTCTCTTGGGAGAGAATGGCAAGATTTATGTGGGGGTTTTTACCTTACAGGGTGCCCCACAAGATCACTGCCCTGCAAAAAGTGCTTTTTCCAGGACAGTGAACTTGCATGGCACCCCAAAACGTGTGTTATGGGGCACCATGCCAGACAAAGTGCATTCCAAAATTGTGTGAGATTGTTGGGACCATTTTGGCCACTGCCCTCTCACGAGAAAAAACAGGGTATCCCGTTTTTCCCAGGGCAGTTGACAAGTTATTTGTCCTGATTTTAACATAGTTTATATAAAGCTTGTACAGTGGAACCTTGGGTTGCAAACGTGATCCGTGCGGCCAACTCGTAGCACCATGTCTGCATATGCGCGGGTCTCAATTTGGTGCTTCTGTGCATGTGCAAAGCGCGATTTAGTGCTTCTGCACATGTGCGAGCGCCGAAACCCAGAAGTAACCTGTTCCAGTACTTCCGGGTTCAGTGAACCCGAGGTACCACTGTACTTGAAACTCTTCACTTGACTTAAAGTGAAATCTCAGTTATTGCCAGCTCCAGTCTCTGTCTACAACGAGCCCTAGGCAGAAAGACTTTAAAATGAAGAAGTAGCAAATAATTTTCTTGTTTGTTTGCTTGCTTGCTTGTTTGTTTTTAATGACCATTTTGCTTGCTACAGGAGTTCTGTTTACAAGTCATGACCATAACTGCATCTTTGAAGTCGCTCTCATAAATGGAAGTGTCACTGTTTTCGAGTTTGATCTACACCCAGGAGAACAGGAGTCTGTTTGCAATGTGTTCTTATTCACTAGATTGCATCTCTTCAGAGGTTACGGAAGGACTGCCTGTTCAAAGGCCTGTTAGCTTCAATAAAGTGTGGGGTTTGTGGGACTGGTTTAAAAATTTGGATTCACCCAAACTTCATTCCTTAAAAGAAGAAGAAGAGAGTTATTGTGGCAGTTTAGAGACTTAATAGATTTACTGTAGAACTCAGCTCCAACAAAGTTTATGCTATAATAAATCTATTTGTCTTCAGGGCATCACAAGGCACTGCTATTTTTGTTGCAGCAGATTGGTATACTTACTAACTCTTTGCAAAGCTCAGCCATTGTTACATTTAAAATTTAAGCTGCATTTTAATATATTTTAAATTACCATCCTCCTGTTATTGACAAAGCTGGTTTTCAGATTGATTTCTTTTTTTATATTGAGTACAAATATCAAACATATATAGTGTGCAAAGGCAGTCCTGTGTAGGAAGCTTAGGCTGTTTCTTGTCAGAAGGTTGGAAGAGCAGACCAGAATATAGGGAGTTGTTCTCTACCTAATCTACACATTTTGCTCTTGTTTTATTCTGTGAATAATACATGTATGCCAAAGGAACTTTTAATCTGCCAATCCAATTGGAGAAAATCCGTAGTACTGTTACTAACCATTGCTAGTATTCTGGCTATCTAGTTTATTCAAAAACAGCACTACCTTTTTGCATGTTCTATTTATTAGTACTTATTGAATAAGCAAGGCAGGATAACAATGCTTTATATTCATACAAGATGGGCTTATTGGGGGGGGGGGGGAGAAACATGCCTTGTGCAACGCAATGACCACCAATAAAAAATCTGTTGGCTCTTCACGGTATCCAGAAAGAGGGTATTGGAAAAACTTAATATAATTAAGGCCATTGGAGAGCCAAATCCCAAAATATACATTTTTAATGACCAGCTTGGATTGTCCAGAATGCTATTTGCCATGTAGCACATAGGAAAGCAGCTTGCTGCTGATTATGGTGACAAAGTAATGCACAACCTTACATTAGGCATGCAAAGACCAATTCATGCATTTTTTAAAAAGCAATGCTAGCAACTGTATACTGTCTAAGGCGATATTTTCCACGAATCATTTAAAGCAGGACTCATAAGCCTTTTAATAGTGAAATGTATCCATTTTCCTGGCCATTCTGACTGAAGCTAGATGTTTGGTGGCAAACATGGGTCTAGAGATTCAGGCTGTTATTGCATAAGCATCAACTCCTGGGGTTTATTTTCTCTGTCTCAGCAGAGTTAAGCAGAAAGTCTTTCTGCATCTTCCCAACCGCGGCAGTCTAGCCTTCTCTTGATGAATTACCAAGGAATAACCACCTCACCCATCCAGTTCTTCTCTAAAGTCTCTAGTATTTACATTACAAGTTGCATAGCACTACTGGTCTACATATAAAACTAGAAACAAAACTATTTACAGATCTCTGCTTCATCCAGACTTCCACATATTCTGGCAGCCACACGGACCAACACTGAGTGCCTCAAATTCAGCTCCATCTCTCCAAACATGCCTTGATGAAGACACCTGTTGCTCAGGAGAATCTACGTTGCTAAGCAGATGTTTCCGGTGAGCCTCGAGGATGCACTTCAAGCCAGTGCTTCCAGGCTCGTTTCAAGTTGATTTTGGCAACACACCAATGCAGGTTGATAGACCTAACTGCAAAGCAGTGTGCCTCTTCCATTTGCACCCGAGAATTGGAGAGAGAAAATGCTGGAATGGCCTCTTCTTAGGCACAAGTCACCACCCCCTCCCCCAGGATGCTTCTCCCCTGCAGATCACACTTCTCTTTGCAGCAGAAAAGAATCAGTCCAAGTTCCTAGCTTCATGTGTTGGGATACTGCCAGGGAGACAGAGTCCATCATGACCCCACGTCGTCTCCATTGCGATCCATCAACCTCCCGTAGACACGCAGTATCATTCAATTAGTGACACGAGCTCCAGAAATAGCTTGCCACATTCCAGAGCTGGTGCACGCTCTATCAGCAGATAATGCACAGCGAAAGATGCACGCAGGAGAGCATTATTTACAATTTTATTCAGCGTTGGTCAGAACAAAGAAAACATGACTGCCTGCTTCGGTGTCTCAGGCACAGAGAGAGAAAAGAAAGCAATAGACAAAACATAAACTTCCTGTGAACAGGAAACACGCAGACTCTGTGACTCACAAAGCCTGCTCCCTTTTAAGGTGGAACGGAAATATCCTAACATCATGGAGGCTGCCAAGCTCCTAGTTTTACATTTAAGTGTGTTCTCCTTCATGGAGAGCACGTGTTGCAGTGGGGGCCGACAGGACACTCCAAAGTTGTGGGGCGGGCTAATTGATCGTTGGCCACTGATGTGATTGGGCTTCCCTTGTTGTTGGGAAGAAGTTAATGTTGCCATTTGTTGACTGACAGCCAGAAATGCTATAACTCCCTGCACGGGGCATAGAGCTTCCTCTTTTCGCCCAGTGCATCAGATTGCCCGTCCCCCCCTCCCTATATTTAGGGTTGTTCGCTTTGACCTTGCTATGCCTATGGGGTCATCTGCTTTTGGGGCAGGGGCCCGGTAGGAATTTTGTCCATCTGGCTGATTGGCTGGGGCCATTTGGTTTTTTCCTACTGCATAGCAAATCGTCACAACTTGTAAGGTTGCGGTTAGGCATTGGTTTATGGTTTGGTTGGTTGAGGGGCATGGATTGGCTGTGCCTGCCCCTCTAATGCTGCTGCTGCAAGGGATTCCGTTAAAGGAATATAGGGGCTCACTATTGCTTTTGTCCACCCTGTCAAGGGGGCTAGGGCCATGCAAGAGCCCCTGGTTGCATTTGGGGAGGGCTGAGGGCAGGTTCCCTGCTCCGTCGCTACCCCCAAGTGTATTCCCCTTTTCTGACTTTCGCAGGCATGTGGAATGTCAGTCTGTCCCCCATGGGGCAGATAGTCACAACCAATGCCTAAGCAACCACTCACATTTTTGTATTTTAATAAAGTTGTGGCCAAAATTATGCCAAAAACCTTAAAGAAAAATTTCTGTGTGATGTGTGAGTTATTGGGGTGGCCCTGGGGACCTCGACACACAACTGCTTTGTGTGCTTCAGATATGAGGCTAAGATCAGTTTTGTTTGGGACTGGTTCCTAGTGCAAAAGCAAAGCCTATATTACTCCTACCGTACATCCAGTTTCCCTTCTGAATGCATTTTTCGGGAATCTGAAGTGCCATTCTCTTTGATCACGACTTCTTTAATAATGTGCAGCATCTTTCTCTGACAAGACTGTAGCATTATCATTCCTAAGATTATTTTTGAAAAAAACATAAACATTATCGTCCCTAAGATGGAAGAAGGGCCTTTCAAAGTGGTCTACAGCAAAGACCAGAGAACAGTACGTATTATGTCAATTGCTGTGGCAGGTTTCATTAATTAAATAAATTCCTTTCTACAGACCGAAGGCATTTTCTTTTCCTGGATTCCTGATTTTTGGGAGACAATTTACAAATGTAGATTTGTTCTGTTACCTGCAAGCACAGCGTATCAGCCACATTTTGTTGTTGTTTTTAAATACCCCATGCATTTTTCATGCCTCTAATGATCCAGCTGTCAAGCTGGCTTACCAAATCATTTTTTAAATAAAATTAAAAAAAACACACACCCAGGCATTTCATCTCAATTGTTGGAAAAAAAATAATAGTTCTTCATAGCATCATCTCGGTGGTAGCAGTCAGCCCGTCACCAGGTACTGAGTCAGGTACTAATGATGAAAAATAAAAGGAAGGCGAGCTACATGCAGCAAATCAATGCCCTACTGCGCAACACACATTGACCCTCAACATGAGGAATCAGAGCTGGGGAGAAGATGAATTAGACAGCCTTGCTGTGGCTCTCTGCCTAACTAAGGAAGAAAGAAAAAGTGTCCATGAGGGGGGAGGAATAGAACCCCTTTCTGTCCACATTATGAAAGAGAGAAGGAGTGTGTGTTTAATGCGTTTAATGAAAAAAATTGCATGCTCAATCCAGGAAAAGCAGGGTTTTCAGTAAAAAAAAAAATAGTATATGCAACAACAACAAAAAGCCAAGAGTTGTATTCCAAAATATCTGGAGGGCACCAGGTTGGAAACGGCAGCCTTAGACACTGCTGGTACGTCTAAGGTGCCTGGAGACTGGCAATCATGTCGTGCATTTATAGCAGTGACCAGAGGCGGAATGACCACCAGGAGGAGCGCAGAGAGAGGAAACGCCATAGTGCATCTGCAGCAGCAAAACCGGACGCCTTCTTCTGCCCCAGCTGCAACAAAACATGTATCTCCCATATCATTCCTCTTCAACCAGGCCTTTGGTTGATTAACCTCTAACACCTTTTAATATGTGTTTGTGGGAAGAGGTGGGGGTTATTTGTTTGTTTTTGTTGTATTATGTATTTTGTACTTTATATCTCACATTTTTATGTCATGAACCATAATAATAATAATAATAATAATAATAATAATAATAGTGTTTTCGTGCACTCTGGTTTCCGTCACGGTGTTCCGTTGCACCAGAAGCGGTTTAGTCATGCTGGCAACATGACCTGGAAAGCTGCCTGCGGATAAACGCCAACTCCCTCGGCCTGAAAGTGAGATGAGCGCCACAACCCTGTAGACCCCTTTGACTGGATTTAACTGCCCAGGGGTCCTTTACCTTTATTATTACCAATGTAACCCAGAAGCAAATACAATCAGAAGGTCAGTGGTTCGAATCCCCGTGACAGGGTAAGCTCCCGTCGCTCCATCCCGGCTCCTGCCAACCTCACAGTTCGAAAACACACCAGTGCAAGTAGATAAATAGATACCACTGTGGCGGGAAGGTAAACGGCCTTTGCGTGCGCTCTGGTTTCTGTAATCTTATTCCCACTTATTTTGGAGGAAGCCCCATTAAACTCAACAGGGCACACTTCTGAGTAGACATGCATGGAATTGTACTGTAAACCTTCCACTAACTTAACCACTTAACCCTGGGCTGACTTACACTTACCTGTTAATAACTTTCTCATTGACTGATGTCTGGGAATGAATGTTCCATAACAGTGTGGGACACGGGTGGGGCTGTGGTCTAAACACTGAGCCTCTTGGACTTGTTGATCAGAAGGTCAGCGGTTCGAATCCCCACAACGGGGTGAGCTCCCATCACTCCATCCCAACTCCTGCCAACCTAGCATTTCGAAAGCACACCAGTGCAAGTAGATAAATAGGTACACCTGCGGCAAGAAGGTAAACAGCGTTTCTGTGCACTCTGGTTTCTGCCACAGTGTTCCGCTGCACCAAAAGTGGTTTAGTCATGCTGGCCACATGACCCAGAAATCTGTCTGTGGACAAACACCAGCTCCATCGGCCTGAAAGCAAGATGAGCACCGCAACCTCATAGTTGCCTTTGACTGGACTTAACCATCCGGGGTTCTTTATCTTTACCTTTTTTTTTAAATAATCATAATCATAATAGTAAAATATTTTGGAAACAAATAAAATACTGTTTATTTATAAAACACCTTATTTAGAAAGGCACGGTACAACATGATATCACCGAGCTCTCATCTGTTCCATTATCTTACTCTGATGTATTTCTTCCCCTTTTGGTGGTGCTTGTTACTCAATTGCTCTGTCTCCCGCCAGTGAGAATCTTGTGCTCCACTTCACATTCTATCTGGTCTTGCATCTCTGCACCTTTCCAAGTCTGATCTCCCACAGTAACTTCACCTCCGGCTCCCCACATTCTGGCTGCCACACTCCACTGCTTGGCAAGGAACAACTAACAAGAAAGGTGACTCGAAGTGACAGGTTTGTAATAAGTACAGCACCCGATCATGGCTGCTCTCCTCATTTTAACCCTGTTCTCAAATTTCTCTGCGCTCGCTTCTGTGCCTCCTGATCCTATAACTAAACGCTTTCGAGCCACAACAACGGTGGAAATAAAATGATTTATAATGATAAGCGTTGGCTTAGCTGACCTGTAATACTGGAGGAATGCAAGTAATCACAGATGCTCTTGTTTTTCAGCGTTTTGTCTTTAGAAATGATAGAGGTCTGCTGAAGTGGAGCCTTTCAAAACTGCCAGAGCATCACACTGTATAATACAGATGAAAATTCCAACTTACTCTGACCCGGCCTTCGTATCCATTAATACAGATAAGCCCTCAGTTGTGATACAAGAGTGAGTCATACAAATCCCCCATTCCAAATATACCTGCCGAGTGGCACTGTCACAGCCATCTAATGGTCCACCATCAAGGTGGCATTTTAAGCTTCTGCTCCTTCTGACATTGTCCCTCAAATGAACAACCAACAATCTCTACATATGACAGAAGGAGACCGGATGCCACTCATTGTTCTTGACAGAGCCGTGGACTGCAGGCATGCTGTTTTTGATATCTCAACCAAGGGATAGGTCTTTTATAATGTTTAAACAGAACAGAGCTGATCAAGCGATGATATGTAGTCCAGGTCAAAAAATTGGCCTCTCAGCTTTTGCCAGTGTTGCCAGGGAAGATTAAAGGAGAGCTAGAATCCAGCTTCCCACTGTAGCAGATTGGTGTATTATTTTGACTGTGCACCTAGCAGCTAGTTTACAGAAGCAACCAGCGAGGAACTCATAGGTGGAAAGCTTACATCTGCCTACAAATTGCCATTAGCTGAGTGTTTAAAGATTCTGTAAGTGCATATAAGTCTGTTCTATCAAAATCAGCGAGGACTAACTAAAGCAGTTGAATCTGCATTGGTCTGCCACTTTTCTCGGAGACGTTTCCCTTTTAAAACAGTGATTTCTGTGCCCCTTGGGCAGCCCGCTGACTTGGCCACAGCTGAGTCAGGTAAAATATCACAGGTGAAGCTTTCCTGTCATTTTGGGAAATAATGTATAGCAATACTGACCCACCTTTGAAAGCTCAGAGAAAAGTGTTGATACAAGTGCCAAATGGCATCAACATCGCTGCATGTTGTTAAAAACTGTAGCTGTTGATTTTCCTTCTCTCTGCTAGGAAACCATGAACAGCATCATAATAAGTAACCCAGTGCTGTTATTACATCACAGGATTGCACTGTGAATGGTCTTAGATGCTTGATGAAGCCTCCAGGTAGGGTGGGAATGGAAACAGTGCCCTGAACTGGAAGCTAACAACTGGCCAACATTAACTCTTGAGGTCCATATACACCTTGACAAGATGTGACAAATGGTCCAGCTATTATTGCCAGGTACGTGGGCTGCCCAGGCAGGGCCTACAGCACTCCAAAATTGTTTAAAATATGGCAGTCCCAAAAACACCTTGGGGAAGTCTCTGGTTTATGAATTCACTGGGAATGTGCAACTGCAGCTTGCATAGCCTGGCCCCCTCCACGTGTACTACATGGGATCCAGTGTGGTGTAGTGGTTAAGAGAGGTAGTCTCGTAATCTGGTGAACCGGGTTCACGTCCCCGCTCCTCCACATGCAGCTGCTGGGTGACCTTGGGCTAGTCACACTTCTCTGAAGTCTCTCAGCCCCACTCACCTCACAGAGTGTTTGTTTGTGGAGGAGGAAGGGAAAGGAGAATGTTAGCCGCTTTGAGACTCCTTCGGGTAGTGATAAAGCGGGATATCAAATCCAAACTCTTCATCGTCTCTTCTTCTCTTCTCCCCTCATCCCTGACCATTGGCCATGTTGGTGGGATTTGTAAGAGAGCACCAGGCTGGGGAAAGCTGAGCTACTGCATGGGATGTCATTTTTAAAATGGGGGGGGGAATCTGGCCCATTTAGCAAGACTTCACCTTGCCTTCTCCAAAGACATGGGGTGCTGTTCAGCTAAGTTCTCCTCAGAGCAGACCATGGCTTGCCCCACACCACACAGAGAACCACACAGCATAGGGACCTAGGGCAGCTCTAGGGCAGATCTACACTCATGGTTTTTAACGTTAAGGAAAGGTTTAGGAATGGTTTTCATAACCTAGATGGACAGATGGTGTCCTACTTTTTACATTCATAATGCGTTATTACCTTGTCTTATTTATTGCTTGATTTTTAACCGTTTTATGCTGCTATATCGGTGAAGCACTGTTCATATGTCCCTATGTAGCATTTTACCTTTCTTCACTGCTTTCAAACGCTGACCCCCACCCCCTCCGATGGTATTTGAGGGGCGGTGTTCAATTTCATTTAAATTTGAAAGGCTGACATGCGGAGATAACAAAGGACATGGAAGGAAGGAAGGAAGGAAGGATCACATTTGATGGGGGGAAACAAGGTAAAATATGTTTTAACTAACAACTATGCGCTGTGATGTTTTAGAATGGCATATTTAATATCGTTTTAATAGGGGGAAATAATGTTAAACAGGTCAGTGTAGACCCAGCCCTTGTGGCCCTCAAGCTACTACAATGTTCAGGGATGATGGAAACTGTAGCCCAGTAACACTGAGAGCCACAGGTTCCCCACCAGACAATACAGGGTCACGTTGCTTCTATGTATAGCAAATGTTTTAACAGCATATTAAGTCAGGATGGGGTTTCGTAGCTAGAACAAACCATGTTCTGAGTCTGGAATCCAATGTTCACATCTTTTATTCATCAATTTCCTTCAACGTACCCAACCACCCTTTTGGAATCCTGATTATGGAAACATGTTTTGTGTGCTGCAAAAGAGACATGAAAACTAAATTCAAGACACAGCCTTCACGACAAGGTAGCTTTCAGGCACAGCTTCTGCGCCTTTGTAATAAATTCTGTTTGCTGATGTGGTGACGGTGGGGGGAACATAATGCATTGTAATTGGATATTCTGGAACTCCTGTGCACAAACACAAAATTGGCATAATTAGGCTTTCTGTCAGAAATAGCTCATTCATGTGTGGTTGCCTAAGAAAAGCCCTACTTTGGGAAAAACAAAATCCCTTCTTCGCCTCCTATCAAAGAATTCCTATGCTGATAGATGACAGCAAACACTGTTGAGACGTAACCCAGTAAGTTGCTGTAAGAGTGTGGTTTTATTAAAAGGACTACAGTAGAAATAAGTATTTAGAGTCAGGCCTAGCAGATTCCTTCATGGCTGCCTGAGGCAATCTGCCTTGTGGAGGGAGGAGAAGGAGAGAATTCATCAGTGAAACCTGGGATTGGAAGTACCCCAGTTTCTGAATTAATTTCTTAGAATCCCCAGAACGAACATGGAGCTGATTTCTAAATCTTGTAGTAACCTAGGCTGCATGTGCTCAGACCTAAGAGTCAGAGAACTGCTTAAGCACCAAAGCAAATAGGGTGGTGTAGTAGTGGCCCCTGCAGTTGGCAGAAAATATGAAGCCTCTGGCTTGAAAGGCTTTGTATGAAATACTAAGAGTCCTGGCTTTCTGCCTGTACCTGGTCAACAGCGCAGTACTGATATCTGGTGCTGCACTGATTTCAGGCTTCAGCTTCACAAGTCCTCATGCCTTCAAGGCATGGACTTCAAGGACCTTGAGTTGCAAAGTAGGTCTAGATTTGAGTACTGCCACCTGTAGCCCTGGGTCTGCCAAACCCTTATTCTTCCCCTTTGCTCTTCTGCCAAGAGATGCTCTGTTTTTTCTGGCTAGAGTGAAGGAATTGAGATTGTATCCCAACAAGACAGAAGTATTGTTTCTGGAGGACAGGGGGTGGGCAGGTGTAGGGGACTTTCTGGTCCTGAATGGAGTAACTGTGCCCCTGAAGGACCAGGTGTGCAGCCTGGAAGTCATTTTGGACTCACAGCTGTCCATGGAGGCACAGGTCAATTCTGTGTCCAAGGCAGCTCCATCTGGTAGATGGAAGTGACCATGAAGTCAGGGGCTCTCTGCAACAATTTCATCCTCAGTAGCATCAGAGACAGACAGAGGCAAATATTAATCAGGGCAATGAAGGTTTGGATTATAATAAATCACATCTGGACCTTCAACGAGAAGGCCAAGCTGTGGGGAGCCTCACTGTGACGAGCCACTCATGACTTATCTAGTGCATGCCCAGCTTATACCTAAACACAGGAGATTGACTACATAATCACAATTGCTTTTTAGTTTCATTTCAACCCACCCAGCTCTCTGTTCCTCCCCCCACATAGCCGATACATGACAACAACCTGTCTGAAACCAGGTAATGAAACTATAATTTCAAATTCAAACACTGTAAGGTCATTCAGACAGACACAAACCTTTAAAGAGGAAGATAAAAACAAGGCATTTCACTCAGTTTTAACCTTTAAATAAAAGATATGCTCCTCCCTGCATCTAGTCCCCCCCCCCAACTCTACATCTATTTGCTCCTTTCAGAGGGCCTAGATACTGAATGGCAAACAGAAATAAATGAGCCAGTTTTATATACACAAATCAAACTCTAATTCAGCTGTTTGGTGCAACAAGGAAACCATCTATACTGTGTATTCCATGGAATATTTGGAACATAATGGGGCGGGACGTTGTATGCTTTTAGGTTTCTAGACCAACTATAATCAAGCAAAGCATTTAAATGTATATCGTCCTAAGGTTCAAGGCTGCAGGATTTGTGACTCTCAAGTCATTGCTGGACTGCCTATTCCCATCAGTCCCAAGCTGGATGGCCAATGGTCAGGGCTGATCAGAGTCATAGAATCATAGAACTACAGTGGTACCTCGGGTTACAGACGCTTCAGGTTACAAACGCTTCAGGTTACAGACTCCGCTAACCCAGAAATAGTACCTCGGGTTAAGAACTTTGCTTCAGGATGAGATCAGAAATTGCACAGCAGTGGCGCGGCGGCAACGGGAGGCCCCATTATCTAAAGTGGTGCTTCAGGTTAAGAACAGTTTCAGGTTAAGAACGGACCTCTGGAACGAATTAAGTTCTTAACCCGAGGTACCACTGTATAGAGGTGGAAGGGATCCTGACCCTCTGCAATGTAGGGCTCAACCACCAACCTTCTGGTTAAAAGCCACACACACTGACCCATTGCGCTACCTGATACATAGTCCAGCAACATCTTGAGGGCCATAGACTCGTTGCCTCTGAATCAGATATTACAGCTGACACAGCATTGCTGGGGGGGGGGACGGGACACCCAGCACCCCATGTCAAGTTCTCCAGCCTCCCATAATGCCTACATTGTAGTGCATTCACTTATCTGCATTCCATTTCATTGGCAGCTGCTGGGATTGGGGAAACCCAAAGTATCGCAAAACAGGCAATCTGCCTACATCTTAAGGGGAATGAGAGGTGAACATGACAGGGGGCTGCTATATTTGCCTATCAAATGCCCTTTTCTTCCCAGCCTGAGCCCATGCATACAATATTTGGCTATGGCAAATTCCTCTGACATCTTCAGGATGCAATCCAGTTCTGCTTCTTCTGTCCATATGTGATGAGCCATCTGCCTTTTCTCGAATGCTGGAACCTGTCCACTCACTCTCTTGCCTTCAGCCAAGGCAATCCATCTCTGGAAGACTCTGTCCACAGCAACGAGAAATTAAGGGGAGCGCTTGGGAAAGAAGTAGGCATCAGGGAACCAAAACATGTTCCAGTGGACGTGGTGGGAAAGTTGACTCCGGTTAACTGGAGTCCAACTGTTGTTCTGCAATTAAGTAATTAGCCATACCAGCTAACTGATGGATGTGGTGAGCCCTTAAAAGAAATTTTACTCCCTTGCAGAATGCACATCATAATGGATGGTGTATGCAAGAAACCAGAGGAGGAGAGAGAGAGTCTGGTGCATTTCCCTGTGCTCTGTGCAGATACAGTGGTACCTCAGGTTACATACGCTTCAGGTTACATACTCTTCAGGTTACAGACTCCGCTAACCCAGAAATATTACCTCGGGTTAAGAACTTTGCTTCAGGATGAGAACAGAAATTGTGCTCCGGTGGCGCGGTGGCAGCAGGAGGCCCCATTAGCTAAAGTGGTGCTTCAGGTTAAGAACATTTTCAGGTTAAGTACGGACCTCTGGAACGAATTAAGTATTTAACCTGTGGTACCACTGTATATATAACAATAATAGAGAACACTCAGTGTTGGATGGGGGACAGATTTTTCACTGCCAACATGTGTAGCAATTTGCTGTCACCTCTGTGAATGAACAGCAACCATTTAATTGAATGTTTACACACTCATTAAAATAATTATCAAGGAAAATATGAGGTCTTCCCCAGTGCCCCCAAATCCTCTCAGCTCTCCCCCCCCCCCAACTCATCTCCCCTCAGTCATGAAATAGTGAGGGTGGTTACAATTTTCCATCTTGAAGAGTACAGAGAGCTGAAGGACAAAGCTGGAAGAGTAACCCTCTTTCCCACTTCCTCTTTCAGCTCTATGTGCTTCTCAAGGCTCAGTTCAATTCTTGTTTTTAGCCACACCCCTTGAAAAAGTTAAGTGTGTGTCTCTCTTTCTGTCTTTTGGGTGGGGGCTGATCTTGGGAAGAGTTCAGCAGAATCCCTTGTGTAGAAATAAGTGAGCTTTCCACTCCGATAATGAGTTTCAAAGCTTTACTGTTGAAAGGCCTTAAATCTAGTTACAATAAGTTACAAGAACAAAATAACAAAGTAACACGGTGCAATCAAACAATGCAGTTCAGTCCTCTAAGTCCTTTACTCAGTTCAGTAAACTTTCCTCTCTCTGGTCGCAGAGAGAGATCCTCAGCTTCTTCATCACTGCAAAGCTTCTCTGCTACTGCTACTACTAGCCATCTCTGATTTCTCAGATGTCTTCTGCTGTGAGAGTTGCAGCTCAGTTTTCCGGGTAACGCGTCATTGGTTGGTTTAACTTACCGAGGTGGAAAAACACCAGCCTTCTGCTTTCAGCCAGAGTGGAACCTCTTTTTTAAGGTAAAC